GTAGCTGGCTCCTTCTGCAATGTGGGTCTTAAGGACCAAAGTTAGGCTGTCAGGTTTGGTGATAGAAATTTTTACTTTGAGCCTGGAAAAGGTTTTTAAGCAAGAAATAAAAGTTTCTGGAGGCTGGAAAGATGGCTCAGTGGTTAAGAGTAATGACTGCTCTTCCAAAGGTCCTGAGTTCAATTCCCAGCACCCACATGGTGGCTCACAACCATTTGTAATGAGATCTGATGCCCTCTTCTGGTATGTTTGAGGACAGCTACAGTGTATGCATATACATTAATTAATTAAAAAGTTTTGCCCTAATGGCCTGTTCAATAAAGCTGTGGGATATGGGGACGGATGGAATGTGAGTGTATCGGAGAAATTAAATAATGTAAACTTGCATAATCTGAGGCAATAAAAGGGAAAAAAACCCTTGACGGATTAGTTCATATGAAACACCAGCTTGGTTACTACTAGCTAAAACTCTCTAAATATCAGCCTCTGGAGGACAACAGAAAAATGAGAGGCATTACTAGGACAATCATGCTTAGTGTCAAGTGTACTTGGCCTGAATGGACTATTTTCACAGGATCATGAGAAAAAGGCAAGTTAATTCAGAATGACCTCAGGGCTGGTCAGTACCTTTTGTAGAGCCTCATGGTGAGGCATGTAAATCAAGTTTATAAGGTGTAAAACAAAGGGCAGGACAAAAAGGCAAAAGGGTCTGATCACTTACAGACCACTGCACTTGAGCTTGGCCACATGTTTGTCAGTACATAGGAAGTGGAGGAAGGAGGTCAAGGCCATCCTTACTGAGTAATTAGTTCAAGGTCAGCTTGCAATACACGAACCCATCATAAAATATAAATACAGTTCAGTAGGCTTGCCACCAACACTGATGGCGTGAGTCAATTCCTAGGTCCCATGTGGTGTAAGAAAATCAATTCCTGAACACTTTCCTCTTACTTCTGTGTGCAGGCTGTACTGGAACCCTCCCCATACAACTCACAAAATCAATAAAAATGGGGATTAGAGATATGGGCCAGTGATTAAGACACTGGTTGCTCTTGTAGATGACTTAGGCTTGGTTCCCAGCACCTACAGGTGATCTGATACCCTCTTTGACCTCCCTGGACATTAAGCAATCATGTGGCACACACACACACACACACACACACACACACATACATGTAGGCAAAATTTAATGATTTAATTAAAATTTTAAAGTCCATCTGTGATAAAAAAAAAAGTTAGAAAAAAAACTGAGACAAATGTGCCATTTTAATCAAGACAGCATTCCTATGTAAAATTAAAAAGCCAAAAGCCCGAGCAACAGTTTACCAAAGTTTTTCCTAGTGGTAGGTAATTATCCTACCCAGAGCACATTACTCTGTATGAAAAAGTAAAGAGAATGGAGTTTATTTCAATTGGGTATGGTCAGTGGAGAGATGCTGGATACAACACAGGTTCAGAGCCTGTCAAACATTGGAAGCTGGCTCCAGTGGCAAATGTAGCAGGCTAACACGTGCATCTCTGCTAACCTTTCACTTAGCTTTGGCCCAGAGCAAGTAACGCTTAGCACTACTTGAGACCATTCAGGATGCACGGGTAATATGTCAGCCCAGAGGGATATGCCCTAGGAGTGAGGAAATGAGATGGCTCATGGGAAATGACAATGTTGGAAGGGTACTGTCCTCTGTCTGTGCTCCGTACCCAACATTACTCTCCTGATGAATTAATTCAAATGTTGTATTGGATCTTGCCAATGGTGTTTTCAGATTTCCCTGTGATGGAAAGGACTTCAGGGAGCCTGCCAATCCTTTGTGATAAAGTTTCAATATATGTTGGCTCTTGAATGACTTGGAAAACAACAGAACAGTTAAAACTACAATGAAATAATTTCCACAGGGGCACCCAGAGTGGCTGGAAACAAAAAACTCTCTGAAGCTATAAAGCTCATTAGATGAAAATCCTGGTGCCAGGGATAGAGTATATTTTCAGAGATGTTGCCAGAAAAACCTCTGGGGCCCTGGAAAACATAGGTGTCATCGTTACTGCTATTGGTTATATCCTAAAACTCAGTAAATCAATTGCTGAAACACCACATTGGTTGTAAGATATGGAGAAATCAATTGGACTGAGCTGTGAGTCCAATTGCTGTTAGCTAGCCTTTAAAAAAAAAATCAGAAGGTACAATGTGTACTGCTGGACAGTAAGTTTTGCTTATTATATCCATAGGTTATTGCTACTGTCAGCCTCAGTTACAAAGGGAAACTTTCATTTTTTTTACTTTATGTGTATGTACATGTTTGTATACATGAGTGCAGCTGCCTGTGGAGGCCAGAAAGCATCAGATTCCCTAGAGCTGTTTCTAAGCTGGCAAACATGAATGCAGGGAACTGAACTCAGACCTTCTGAAAGGGTAGTACAAGCTCCTAACTGTGAAGACATCTGCCCATCCCAGGGAACTTTTTCTAGCAGGTAGCAGACATTTAGAGCCAAACTTCTAAAAATAAATGACCATTGTTGTGGCACTGTGGCAACTCTAAACCATAAGTGCAAAAAAATGACCAGACATTACTATCATTCCATCCCACTCCCCTAAAACAAAACCTCAGGGATATCCTCAGTTTCATGAAAGGAAGGTACTAGAAGAACTAACTAAAGAGGTAGAGTGTTATGCAGCTCTTCTCTCCTAGCTCAAAGATTTTCCCCTCAAGAGCAAGGAGGCACTTAAGAATGAGGAAGCTCATAGAGTTAGAAGACTCAGGAAGTCTTTCTCTTTGGTTATACAATCAGTAAGCAATTGCTAAGGAGAAAAACCCTTGGTCAAGGAGGTCCAGGGATGCAGCTTTCGTGAGTTACTGTTCATGGTGACATGGACTTTTTAGTGATGTAGCCTTTGAGTCACCCATGTTCTGTAAATAATCCCAACAATCCCACTGGTTCATTATACTAGGCCCTAATGCTAGAAAATAGAAAAGATTGAATTTAGACACTCCAAGAAAATTACAACTATACATAATATTTACTATGTAATGTTAACAGCAAACACAAAAAGGTAACAGGACTCCATCTCTATAAAGACAATTTATTTTTTATTTATGTGTGTGCTCACATCGGCCAAAGAGTGTTGAATTGCCTGTAAGTGGAGTTTTGAGCTGCTGGATATGGATGTTGGGAACCAAGCTTGGGTCCTCTGCAAGAGCAACAAGTGTTCTTGACTCTTGAGTTTTTTCTCCAGCCCCTTTGAGGAAAATGTTCTTGTATTCCATTAAGATTTGCTGCTCTGCTGGAGGTCCCAAGTTCAAATTCACAGCACCCACATGGTATCTCACGATCATCTATGTATAAAGAGATCTGATGCTCAGCATGCATGTATGTATACATGCAGCAGAGCACTCATACAGAAATCATTTGTGTATGAGTGTTTTGCCTGCCTGTATGTATGTGCAGTACATACATGCTTGATACCTGTAGAGATCAGAAGACACTGCCAACCCTAGAACTGCCCTTTTGGAGGTGTGAACCATAATGTAAGGGAAACTCAGGTCATTTGCTGTGGAATGTCTCTCTAGTCCTCATGTATACCATTCTTTTTTTTTTTTAAGATTTATTTTTTTATTTATATGAGTACACTGCAGCTGTCTTCAGACATACACACTAGAAGAGTGTGCTTTGGACCCCATTACAGATGGTTGTGAGCCACCATGTGATTGCTGGGAATTGAACTCAGGACCTCTGGCAGAGCAGTTAGTGCTCTTAACCGCTGAGCCATCTCTCCAGCCCATGTGTCCTATTCTTAACATTTATTTATTCCGTAGTTGGCAGACTACATATCTATAAAGCAGATGAAAGCAAAATTAAGTTACATTGTGAGAAGTCAGAATAGTAGTTGTGATAAGAAATGATTAGAGTATATTAAAGTTTTACAGTGCTGACAGCAATCAATTTGAGTAGTAGCTTTCAGGTATTGGCTAGGTGTTAATTTAAACTTTATATTTGTTTGGGAACCTGCTTATGGAGTATATTTTAAAACTTAAAATATTATTTAAGCAAAGTGTGGTAGTGCACATCTGTAATTCTAGCACTCAGGAACAGAATCAGGAGGATCAGGATTGAGGCTAGTATGGGCTATATGGTAAGGCCTTGTCATTTCAGAAAACAGCAACAACTTAAACTAGTCAAGCATGGTGGTATACACCAGTAATCCCAGTACCTGCACAGCAACTCTGAGGAACAGCCTGACTCAGTAAGACAAAACCAGGCTCATATCCCATCCCTAAAAATTTAAAATACTATCAGGAGTCTTTTTTTTTTTTTTTAAATTTTATTTATTTATTATATGTAAGTACACTGTAGCTGTCTTCAGACACCCCACAAGAGGGTATCAGATATCATTGCAGATGGTTGTGAGCCACCATGTGGTTGCTGGGATTTGAACTCATGACCTCTGGAAGAGCAGTCAGTGCTCTTAACCACTGAGCCATCTCACCAGCCCAGGAGTCTTAAAATAAAGAATATAAAACATATTTAATCATATAATCCAATCTTTTCATCCCTCAATTCAACCAGACTGTCTGAATTCAATCTTTTCTATTTTCTAGCATTAGGGTCTAGGACACATATATAACCATTTCCTCAACTATAAAGAAAAATGGCACCTACTATTGAGTCATTGTGAGGCTTCAGAAGAAACAAACAGTGCCTGGAGCACAGCCTAGCAGTAATTAGTGAGTAGTGTGCTAGCTACTACTACTATTCTTTTTGTCTGTCCTTAGGTTCATGGCTGATAAGAAGCTTTTTTTTTTCCCAAGGAAAACTTCCAAAAAAAAAGTAGGAACGAAACAAACAAACAACCCCCCCTCCTAAACAAAAAACCCCCAAACCTTTCCTTCTCTTGGAACAATGAGACAGAATGAGTGGTCAGATGCAGGTTTAAGTCATCATTTAGATGTCTAGTCTCCTTTACCAAAGGCCCAAGGGAAAGCAGGAAAAAGAACAATTAGACAGTATTTCACCACCAAAAAAGATTTTTATTACAAAACAAATTTTAATAAAATCAAGCCTGGTTTTCATCCCTTTCTCTGAACGGAGGCTCCTAGAATGGAAGGGCAAGGGAGATAAAGCAGAGGATAATGAAAGAACAGAGCAGGCTGACCTCCCCTTGAAGTCTCAGGTGCTTTCAATGGCCTAGTTGAGCTCTTCCAATGGCTCCCGAGAAGGGCAATATCCTTCCAGACAGAAAGAACCAGGCACCACTCCTGTCACCAGAACTGTGAGCACTGCTGAACTGTTGAATTGGATCCAGGTCTTGACTGACTCTCAGCAAAGGCCACTCAGGGTTACTCAGCCTGAGCAATGGTGTACGAGAGCAGCCACAGCAGCAGGGGACCCAGAAAAAGGACAGCCAACCAGACAGCAAAACTGGCCAGGACGAGTCTCCGGGCCCGGGCCCCCAAGTATATGGCCTCCTCCGACTGGCCTGCCTTATGCCGCTCTTCTGCCTGTTGGGGGCAGGTTCTTGGTTAGATTCTCCCCCTGCTTCTGTCCCAAAGTACCCACTGCCCCATTCCACTTAGTGATCTATCATAGCTCATAACTGCACATATATAAACATTTTACAACCTTTTTCTGGTCTTTCTTAGCTCATCTGCAATACAAAGTATTCATTTCAGTTCTGCCTTACTTTTCAACTGGCCACAGTTATAGCTCACAAGACTGTATTTTTAATGACTTTGGTTTGTTTTGTGGTTTGGGATGGAACCCAAGGGCCTGTGCATACTACCCAAGTACTCTGCTGAATTACATTTCTGGACTGGAAAATACTTTGTAATCCTTCTATTCCCATTCTTTTCTATTTGTCCCACATTCATCCTGTCTCATGGTTCAAAAGGCACCACCATTTTCATCACAAAGGATTGCTTTTATGATTTTTGTGCCAATGAAATTCTTATGACAGAAAATGTTTCTGTCAAGATATATCCAGGTAGTGAGAAAATTGTAGAATGATGTTTAAATTAGTTTGGATAGCCTTTCACTAGGTATATATGCGTGCCAGACTTAGTGATAATCCACTTTTCATGGGCAGGACTCTGGGCTCAATTCCTAGTAATGCCACCTCCACCCCAACCACAAAAAAAAGGGAGTGTGCAGATTGTTCTCTAACAACTACACTGCTCCTTCCACATGATGGATACTGGTCTCATCACTACTTAACTGTCTGCCTGCCTGTAGCCTTGCCCCTTGTGATTCAACCTCAATGGAGGTTTTGAGAGTAAATCTTTCTGAAACTCTGGCCATGTCACTCCTCTGAAAAAAATTTAAATTGCTCTCTGCTATTCAAGATAAAGTTAAAATTCCAAGTACAAAATCGGAGGCCTTCAGTAATCTGGATCCTTTGATGTCAATTCTCAATATTCCTTATTTAACCTCTGTACACATTGCTGCCTTTATTTGGATTGTCCTTCCATCCTCTTAAAGTTTCTTAAAGTTTTATTTTCTGTCATCTTTTTGATGTATGGTAGCCAACTTACTCTAACAGAAACACCCTGCCCCCTATCTCCCACAGAGATACATCTTTCCCCATCTCTTTGTTCCTAGGGAGCCCTATGCTTCTTCTGTACTACAGTATCGATAAGCTGAATTTTACTAATTATCCATTTTTACAACTATCAGTTTCTTTCTTTCTTTTGTTTTTTTTGAGGCAGGGTTTCTCTGTGTAGCCCTGGCTGTCCTGGAACTCACTCTGTAGACCAGGCTGGCCTCGAACTCAGAAATCCACCTGCCTCTGCCTCCCAAGTGCTGGAATCAAAGGCGTGCGCCACCACTGCTCGGGTCAACTATCACTTTCTTAAGACATGGATCCTTTGAAAGTATTCTTACTCTGGCACTAAGCTATCAGACCTAAGCATCAATAGATATTTAATAACTGTTTAATTAACTGTAGACAGACACAGTCATTTCATTAGACCCATCCAGTCCCACAGGAATTTTATTCCTCACCTTGATGGCAAACACAAGAGCCATGATCCCCAGGCAAGAACAGCCACAGATAATGCTAGTAGCTGCCAAGTACTGGAGGCGGAGCCAGCAGCAGTGGATAGGGGGGGATGGAGGATAAGCAGCTTCCAGGTTGCTCACCAAGCTCTCCGCTGCCTTCTCCTCGTCCTCCATCACCTGTGGGCGATATAGTCAAGGCACTTTTAAGCCCAACAAATGAGCTCTTGCTTGGGCATGGTGACTCCACCCTTCTCAAAGCATGCTGTCTAGTGTCCTAACCCTATACTCAGGAATGCTGTTTTACTGGGAAATTCTTCCAGTGACTCAGGCCAGAAGACTAAATATGTGGTTGGAATCCTTTCCATCAACTTAAGATTCTGAATCTTTTGAAGGGCAAGCATGTGTAAATGTACTTGCTCTTCAAGTACAGAGAAGGAAATGGACCTGGATTCCAAGAAACAGGAGATAGAATCTTAAAACCTTATGACTAGGTAGCTTTTTTTGGTTTTGTTTTGACACAGGGGGTCATTATGTATCCCCTCTCTGGCTGGCCTGGAACTCAGTATATAGACAAGGGTGTCTTCAAATTCAGAGACTGCCTGGCTCTGGCTTTATGGTTGGTTACTTATTTTGATAGTTTCTCTATGTAGCCCTGGCTGTCCTGGGCTATGTAGACCAGGCTGGCCTAGAATTCACAAAGATCCATTTGCCTCTGCCTCCTGAGTGCTGGGATTAAAGGCATGTACCACCACCCCTGGGCATGAATAGTTCTGAGGATGAAGGAAAGGCAAGATCATATAGTTAAGTTCTTTTTGATGTTTATAAAAACAGAACAAAAACCTAAAAACAATAAAAAAAAAATCCCACTGAACCCAGGAGTGGTAGGAGTCATCTATTCAGTACAGTTAGAAGCAAAAAAGATCAAGAATTCAAGGCCAGTATTGCTAGCTCAGAGTCTGAGGATACATGAGATCTTGTCTCAAAACAAAACCCCTCAATATGAGACATCTCCTTTGCTATGCTTTCTTGCCACCTCTCTCCATTTTATTCCAGACCACAGAACCCAATCAGATTAGCAGAGTCCAAATGACTTCGCTCACAGAAACCTGCACAATGCTCTCTTTACTCAGGCCCTCTATGCACATGAAAATATCTTTCCACTCTCATGTCCAATCATTATCCTACAGGCTGGACACATGAAACCGCCTGTGGTTCCCCACCACAAGTAACAAAAATGCAGAGATAGAAGAGAACAAAAAGATGTGGCAAAGCTTCAACAGCAGTTGAGGTAAGAAATGAACTGTCAGCAAATGAGACAAGCCCAAAAGAGGGCACAGGGAGTTAAGGCCAGAAACTATAAACATAAGCATAGATTCTTACCTGGCCATAGGCTCTGAGGAACTGTGAGTTTCGGCTCCTGCCTCAGGTTTGATTTGGCTTGGGTGGAGATGAAGCTGACTCATGGCTCCAAGCCAAGCCAAGGTAGAGTTGTGGGGCCAGCCACCATTGGAAGAGCCCAGGGAGCTGGGAAGGGGCATGGCCAACTCAAACCAGTTTGGTTAGATGGAGAGCAGAGGAGGGCTAAGGCATGAGCAAATGGAGGCTGCCTGCTTTCTGAAGACAGGAGTGTAAGGAAGCACCTGAGTAGACTGAGAGGGAGCTCCCGGGCGCTGGAGAGCTGAGGGAGAGTCCAGGAGCCAGAGAAAAGAATCTATCTGGGTGGTCTAAAAGACTCTAAACAGCCTACCACACCAGATTTGACAATCTTCCCCTCCCCCTTTTTTGACTGGGAGAGGGATTAAATTCTGCTTCAAAGGTATAGAATCTTGGATTAGAGATCAGGCACGGAGTCATTGCAAGAGGGAGGAGAAAAATGGCATCCAAGTTCCCACCCAGCCCTCCACCAGACCAGAAAATCAGAAGCCTCCTTACACGGATGCTTGTACAGAAACTAAGTTTATTATGTTTTTTTTTTTTTAAAAAAAAAAAAAAAAAAAAAAAAAAAGAAAAAGAAAAAAAAAACCAAACCCACCCCACCTCATTGAAAAGCCCCTCCCCTTTTTCCCTAAGGGTTTGAGGCTGTGAAAGACAGCTGGGGAATCAAGTACAAGGGGGTGGGGACAGAAACTATCTTGCCACCCTTAACACTGCCCAGCCATATGGGATAGGAGAGAAGGGGATTGTGACAAGCCCCATTTCCATGACAATCGGTAACCTACCCCCTACTTTGGTGGAAAGGAAGACAGCCCCCTATGTCTCCCTGGAGGCTTTTTCCCTCAAAGACTTCAAGTAGTGGTTAACAGAGTCAGGCCTGGGCACGGGAAGTGGCCATGGTGGGATACACAAGTGAAGGGGCTGCCCACTCACGTCTTAGCCTTTCGACCTCTGTGACTAATAGTAGGGATAGATAGGTGAGGAGGAGCACTACTACGCAGGATACGCTGGTCCCCTTGGTTGGTGGTCCCAACGAGCCTGCGGGGACCAGTTCGACGGCGTGGGGTTCCATCTCCTTCCTCCTCGTCACCTGAGGCTTCTGCCTCTGACTCCTCTACTGAACCCTCAGGCCCCAGGGGACTTGGGGGCTGCAAGCGGCCCCGTTTTGCCATCCCAGAACTCCCAACTGGAGCCCCTGACCTTTTGCGAGGCATTTTCTCAGTTTCTAGTGGGGGGACAAGAGACCCTGGACGCAGGCGGGTTGAGCGAAATTTGGGAGTTAATGAGACCACAGGCGGTGTCAGTTCTAACCCACTTGGCCCACTATCTGCTAAGTCCAGGTCATCCTGAATTACGGCCATCACCATGGACCCTTCACTCTTTCGTCCCCGCATCCCTTCAGCTTCAAGCCGAAGGCGGGCCAGGCGGGTGAGAGGGCGGCTTCCATCCTCATCAGAGGAACTGCCTTCACTCTCAGCCTGGCCCAGGGGTTGGCGCTGCACTCCCAGTCCACAACTCTCAAGAACAGAAGAGCTGTCGGGATCCAAGACAGGGTGTTGGCTGGGCCTTGGTGATGGTGGATTCTTGGGAGGTCGGCCCCGCTTCCGCTTCGGTGGAGATGTTGAAATGGTGACAGTGGTGACAGTGTTGGTGACAGCAGTGGGACAGGCTAGGAGTGGTGTCAGGGGTGCTGGGAAAGGGAGTGGCTGTGTCCGGCTCTCTAAATTACCATCCCCTGGAGAGGATATGGTCCCAGGAATGGGCAAATCCCTTGCTTTAGGGGGACGCCCACGCCGTCTTTTCTCCACAGGTGATAGGATGATGGGCTCTGGTCTGCGAAGTGGTTGGGGTCCAAGAGGCTGGGGCCCAGGAACAAACTGGGGCCTGAGGTCAGGCTCTGCAACAGTTACTGTTTCAGGCCCAGGGACTGGGTCAACCCCATTGGTTTTCCCCTTAGAGATGGATGAAGGTGCCTCATCCACCCCTCTCCCAGCATCTGCTGGAGACCTGTTCTTCTTAGGAGGCCTCCCCCGCCGACGTTTCACAGCAGGTGGAGTGATGGCAAGCTCTGCTCCTTCTCCATTTTCTGGGCTGCCCCCACCAGTCACCCCCAGTTCATTGTGACGACAAGCTATGAAGGCATGCTGGGCTGGAGTAGACAGTGAAGATGTAGGAGCAGCTTCACAGGGCCCACTGCTAGGAGGTGAGGATTCTGGCCCTGACATACTGTGGATTGATGGGCTTCTTGGACTGGCACTAACTTCAGATACCCCAGGTACTAGGGTGCTGGCAGTTGCCCTATGTCGCCGTCGCTTTACAAGTTCTTTTTCCTCCACCACAGTTACTAGCCTTCCTGGCAGCTTTCGAAGCACTTTGGGACCTGGGGGTTGTCCTGTCCGGCCAGACCCCTGACCCCTGATTTCTACATCAGCACTGGTTCGACGCCGTGGGGGGCGGGCAGGCAAAGGACCCTCAGGAGAGGAGGTGGCTGACGATGAGGTTGATGGGACTGTAACCTCAGCTCTAACAGGTTCTTGTGACTTTTCTGAGTTGGAGATTGGGATCTGAACCTCTCTTGTTTCTTCCAAGTGAGTCTTCAATAGCTCCTGAAGTGGCTCATCAGATCCTGCTGAGGGTGGGAGCTCCAGCCCATTGCTCTCACTCAGACTCATGGTCAATTCCTCACCACCAGGTAGCAGTGTGGGATTAGTTCCCTCCACAGGACCTGGCACCTCCTGCTCCTGACCATTGGGGATGCTCTCAGCCTCCAGGGTTGAACTGGGTGCAGGAATAAAAGGAAGATTCTTCTCTGATTCAGGCAGGACATCAACAGCCACTGGCAAAAGATCCTTTGGAGGCACAAGACTAACCAGGGAAGCCTCAGAATTGGTCATTCCAAGCAGCTCTAGAGACTCCACAGGTGGCAGCTCTTGCGCACACAGCCCTGCTTCCCCTGAGTCCAAGGGGAGGTTGGTAACCCCAGGAGAGGTGGGAACAGGAAGCGAATCAAGTGGGGCTGGTGAAGAAGAGGTTAATAGAGAGGTTTGAGGTGGTAAGGGGGTACAAGTAGGTAGAGGGGTACAGGCAGAAGGAGGGGTAGAAGCAGGAGGAGAAGGAGGAGGAGGAGGAAGAGGAGGAGGAGGAAGAAGCTGAAGCAGAGGTGTGGGAGTAGGCAAAATATGAACAGGAAGAATGGCTACTGGATTTGGGGCTAAAATGGGTATTGGAGCTGTGGCTAGGGCAGAAGTTTCAGCAGAAGTAGGAGCAGGAACAAGAGGAGCAGGAGAAGGAGCAGGAGAAGAGGCAGGAGCAGGAGGAGGTGGAAGAGGAGGAGCAGGAAGAAGAGAAGGAACAGAAGGAAGAGGAGGGACAGAAGGAGGAGGAGGAGGAGGGGGAGGAGGAGGAGGCCGAGGCCTAGGCACTGGCCTGGGAATTCGTTCTCTCACAGGGCTGCATCGGGGAGGCACGAAGGTGTTGCAGGTGTGATGGGAAGATGTGACAGGAGTGTGGTTTGCTCCTTGAGTTTCAGCCCGAGCTCCACGAAGACGTTCACTGACCCGAGTGCCCAGCCTCTCAGGAGCCTTAACTTTCTTGCTGCGCCGGTGGCTGACTCCACTAGTTCCACAAGACATCTCATCCCCAGCCCCTGGCCCTTCCTCTTCCTCCTGGGGTAGTCGAAACACCTCCTCCTTGGCTTGGTCCAGGTCTTTGCGGGCAGCTTCCACTTGTTCCTACCAACAACACAGCCAATAGTGTCAGCAAGAGGCAGAGCAGAGCAAGGCATGATAGAAATGAACAGCTTTGGGGAGATGGCTCAGTGGTTAAGAGCACTGACTGCTCTTCCAGAGGTCCTGAATTCAATTCCTAGCAACCACATGGTGGCTCACAACCATCTACAATGAGATCTGATGCCTTCTTCTGGTGTGTCTGAAGAGAGTGACATTGTACTCACATACATAAAATAATAAATAAATCTTTCAAAAAAAAAAAAAAAAAGAAAAAAAGAGAAAAAAGAAAAAGGAAATGAACAGCTTTCCACTATTGTAATCCCCTCACTTCCTACTTAAGAAGACTTACTTCTGCCTGTTTGAGCTCCTCTCGGCTTACTTCCTCCAATGAAGCTTCTAGGAACTTCATGGCATAGCGCTCAATAGGAGTCAGCTGAAGGGAAGAATAAAAGTTGATAAACATTAAGGACCTAGAACTCAGGGCCTATCACCATTATTTAATTTACTATCACCAGAAAACACAGGGGAAAGAGTCCTGGCATAAGTTATGACAGATGAAGAGAAGTGGTAGTGGATCCAACACTGACCTGTTCTACAAGGGCAGCAATTTCCTGTTCAGCCCTGGACATCTCCTCATCCTCAGCCCCAGGCCCGGGCCGACTGGCTTCCTCTCCCTCACCAGCAGGAAACCCATCGTTCTCATTAAATTCTGCAAGCTCAGCCACTTGCTCAGCTTTGGCCTGAGTGGCTGCACGGATATCTTCTTCATCTTCTGCCCGACACAATGCCTTCAAGATATACAGAAGAAAAACAAAGCACATACAAATAAGAAATTTAAGAACACTGAGGCCAGAAAGATGGCTCAGTGGGTAAAAGGCAATTACCTAGCAAACCTGATAGCCTGGATCTTCAGAATCCACAGTGGAAGGAGACGGCTCTAGAAAGTTGCTCTCTTACTTCCATATGCATGTGATAGCACATATTGCTTATAATGAACAATAAAGTTTTTTTTTTCAAAGAGAAAAAGAGGAGGGGAAAGATCTAGAGAGATACCTCAGCACTAAACAGAGCTTACTACTCTTGAAGAGGACCTGAGTTTGGTTCTCAGCACCAAATCAGGTGGCTCAACTCCAGCTCCAAGGAACAACCCCTTTGATCTCACAGTACCAAAACATAAGACACATAACTAAACATACAAAGAATCGTAGAAAGCAATCCCTCCCCCAAATTTTTTAGGCATGTTGCAGGTATATGCCCATAATCTCAGCTCTCAGGAGGCAGAAATAGGATTGCTGCAAGTTTGAGGTCAGCCTGCTCTATGTTCTAGGCCAACCATAGACACATGACAAGACCCTGTCTCAAAACAAAACAAAATAAAGTTACATTTTGTAATTTACATTTTGTTTATGACAAGGGTAACAAGGTATTACTATGTGGCCCTGGCTGGCTTGGAACAGATTGTGTAGCCAAGTTGTCTTTAAATTTAGAGTCCCACCTATCACTGCCTCCAGTATGCCTGCCATTATATTCCTGCAAAAACACTTGAGGCAGCTGGGTGTGGCAGTACACACTGCTGATTCCAGGTCTCAGAAGGCAATGGTAGGTAGATCTGAGTTCTAAGACAACCTGGTCTAAATAAAGAGATCCAGACAGCCAGGCTTACATATTTGAGGCCCTATCTCAAATTAAAATAAATAAATATATAAATAAATAAAAATTGAATCCAAGTTTATATAAAAACAGATTTACTCTAGCTGTGGTGGTGTTCACCTTTAAATAATAGAACTAAGAAGGCAGAGGCATGTGGATCTTTGTGAGT